TTAGCAGACCATGGTACTGTTAGCATTCTTCTCCAGCACCACAACTCAAAAAGTATCAACTCTTCTTCAGTCTTCTTATTCATTGTCCAGCTCTCACATGCATAAGAGGTGACTGAAAATACCATGGATGGGTTGGGCGCACCTTGCTCTTCAAGGAGACACTTTGCTCTTCATCATTTGAAAAAGGTCTTTTGCAGATTTGCTCAATATGTCATCTGATGTCTTGACTACTGCTTCCATTGGTGTTGATTGCAGAACCAAGTAATATGAAATCCTTGACAACTTCAGTCTATTCTCCATCTACCATGAAGCTGTTTACTGGACGAGTTGTGAGGATTTTTGTTTCCTTTATATTGAGGTGTAATCCATACTGAAGACTGTAGTCTTTAATCTTCATCAGTAAGTGCTTCAAGTCAACATCATTTTCAGCAAGCAAAGTTGTGTCATTTTCAGCAAGCAAAGTTGTGTCATCTGTGTATCGCAGGTTGTTAATACTCGAGTCTTCCTCTACTCCTGATGCCATGTTCTTCTTCATATAATCCAGTTTATTGGATTATTTGCTCAGCATACAAATTGACCAAGTATGGTAAAGGGATACAACCCTGCTGCACTCCCTTGATTTTGAACCATGCAGTATCCCCTTGTTCTGTTTGAATGACAGCCTCCTGATCTATGTACAGGTTCCTCATGAGTACAATCAAGTGTTCTGGAATTCCCATTCATCTCAATGTTACCCATAATTTGTTATCATCCAGACAATCAAATGCTTTTGCATAGTCAATAAAACATAAGTAAACATCTTTCTGGTGGTATTCTTTGCTTTCAGCTAAGACCCATCTGACATCAGCAATGATATCCGTAGTTCCACATCCTCTTCTGAAACCAACTTGTGTTTCAGGAAGTTCTCTGCCAATATACTGCTGCAACCATTTTTTAATTATCTAAAGTAAGATTTTACTTGCATGTGATATTAATGATATTGTTCAATAATTTTCACATTCTGTGAGATCACCTTTCTTTGGAATGGGTACAAATATGGATCTCTTGAAGTCAGTTGGCCAGGTAGCTGTCTTCCAAATTTCTTGGCATAACCGAGTGAGTGCGCCTCCAGTGTGGCATCCATTTGTTGAAACACCTCAGTGGATGTTCTATCAATTCCTGGAGCCTTGTTCTTCACCAGTTCTTTCAGTGCAGCCTCGACTTCTGCCTTCAATACCATTGGTTCTTGATCATATGCTACCTCCTGAAATGGATGAACACTGACCAATTCTTTTTGGTACAATGACTCTGTGTATTCCATCTTCATTTGACGTTTCCTGCATCATTCAGTATTTTGCCCATAGAATCTTTCAATATTGCAACTTGAGACTTGAATTTTTTCTTTAGTTCTTTCAGCTTGAGAAATGCTGAGTGTGTTCTTCCCTTTTGGTTTTCTAACTGCAGGTCTTTGCACATTTTATTGTAATAATTGGCTTTGTCCTCTCAAGATGCTCTTGGAAATCTTCTATTCAGCTCTATTATCTTGTCATTTCTTACGTTTGCTTTAGCTACTCTCTGTTCAAGGGCAAGTTTCAGAGTCTTCTGACATCCATTTTTGTCTGTTCTTCCTTTCTTATCTTTTTAATGATCTCTTGCTTTCTTCATGGATGATGTCCTTGATGTCATCCCACAATTCCAGTAGTTTTTGGTCACTGGTGTTCAATGCATCAAATCTATCCTTTAGATGGTCTCTAAATTCAGGAGACATATTATCAAGGTCATATTTTGGCTCTCGTGGACTTGTTTTAATTGTCTTTAACTTCAACTTATGAGTAGTTGATGGTCTGTTCCACAATCAGTTCCTGGCCTTATTTTGGCTGAAGATATTGAACTTCTCCATCACTTCTTGACACAAATGTAGTCAATCTGATTCCTATGTACTCCGTCCGGCAAAGTCCACATATATAGATAGCCATCATTTATGTTGTTGAAAAAGGTATTTGCAATGAATAAGTCGTTGGTCTTGCAAAAATTCTATCATGCGATCTCCAGTGTTATTTGTCACCAAGGCCTTATTTTCCAACTACTGGTGACTCTTCTTTGATTCCAACTTTTGCATTCCAGTCACCAGTGATAATCAACACATCTTGATTGTATGTTCAGTCAATTTCAGACTGCAGAAGTTGGTAGAAATCTTCAATTTCCTCATCTTTGGCTTTTGTGGTTGGTACATAGGGTCTCTATGAGTTGGAATCAACTCAAGTGCAAGGGGTTTTCTAAAAATCATCATAGTAAAATATTAAAATGCCTGGGACTGAAATGGATTTTAAATTCTTTCCTAAGATGTGTACCACTGTGTGGGGAGGCAGTGTGGCTTGGATTCTCAATGCTGACATTAATTAGCTGTCTAACTTTGCCTCACCAGCCCCTCCTGCTTCCTCATCTGTGAAAGGCTTCCAGTGCTTAGCTTTTTCAATTTAATCGTTAGAATCAGTGGAAGTTGGCAACGTAAATCCTCCTCTTCTGCTTTCTCTCATTCACATACAGAAAAGCACTTAGTTGTTCCCCCTTTCTCCTCAGATTCTACTATCTTTTGAGTTTTAAGATGACATCTTCTAGATCAGAGGTTGCCCTGAGCCATATTTCTTTGAAGATAATCCTGGGAAAGCATGATACTTAATGAAAATCTTTTTCTTGTAGTTTCGGCATGTGAAATTTTCTGGTACCTCAACCAAAATGACAGTCGGTCTCATCATGTTCTCAAGTCTGTAAAAGAAGATTCAAAACAAGCATTCCATTTTCTAGCCACACACCAAATGTCTACAACCTGGTGAGAGCTATACCTTTTCTCCTAGAAGCAATTAATGAATATCCAGGGTTACAAATCATCCCCATAATCCCTATATGGAAGGGGTCTGCCACACTTCATGAGAGTTTTTAAATTCATCCACCGAGGAGGATGTATCAAGTCAGTTATTCCCTGTTGACAATGCAAGTGCCCTGACTACAGTACATTTGGAACATTTGTTGGGTATGTGCATTTATTCAAGAGTCATTTACTGCACACCTACTATGTACCTAGGAACTGTTTAAGCTGTGGAAGATACAATAGTAAACTATATGTATCAGGAAGGTAAATATTTTGTGGCTCATATGTGAAAAGGAATCGTGTTTATACAGGCAGTCCCTGGGTTACTTATGGGGTATGAACCAATCTCCATAGAATCTATTACATTAAAAATTCTAGGTACATACATAGTGGTTCATAATAACAAACAGGCATTACTTTGTGACATGTATCAAAACATTATTATTACTGTATTACTATGTTAAAGATACTTTAATGTATCTGGAAATACTTAATATTATTTATGCATAGAAAGGTACACTATATACTGTACACCAAGACAAACAAATATTTGACTTCTGACATTAGATACAAACCATACCTAACTCTTCTGATTTACACAGGTATTCAACTTTAAGACAGATTGAGGAACAGAATTCATTAGTAATCCAGGGACTGCCTTTAAATAGGTTGAATGTCATATGTTACCATCACTACCTCCTTCCAAGTAATTTATGCCTACACAGATTATTTTTCTTCCTTCAGGAAATTGAGGTTGAATTTCCCATCCTTAAGGATATGAAAACTGTGAATCTGAAGAATTTTGCCATTAATTTCTCATTTTCCTAATTTCAGACTGACAAAAAGGCATTTCTAGTTAATGATAATGTATTTAAAGTATTTTTGTTTCCCAAGAAAAAGGTCATTAAGAAAAACTTGAGATCATATTATCAGATTTCAAATACTGAAAGTTAAAGGCCCAATTATCCCATCTTAATAGAACCCCCAGGAGTGGCATTTTTTGTAATGTGGTCCCACTGTCAATGGTAACCAATAAAGTTCATATCAATGTGAACCAATATATTCATTGAACCACCCTCCCCAACCATAAAAAGCATGTATTTATACTGGCCTCAGTGTGTGGCCACTGTATCTGATCCTCTGTACCACAGCTTCCACGCATACCTTACACCCTTACTCCCTGCTGTTCTCAGCTAACATTAACCCCTTCCACTGCGATCTCTGGAGCAGGGGCTGGCAAACTACTACTGCCTGCCACGTGTTTTTGTAAACAAAAAGTTTCATTGAAACACAGCCATGCTCATTAGTTTACTTATTATGTATGGCTAGTTTCAGGCTACCACAGAAGAGTAGGTGGTTGAAACAGACCAAATGGCCCACAAAGCCTAAAATATTGACTCTTTGACAGCGCTTTACAGAAATTTGTTGACTACAGCAGTTTGAGAGATTGTGCAAATGTAAACAGGAATGATGATGAATATGGGGAGCAAAGGAATGCCTCACAGCAATTGTGACAATAATAAAAATTGAAATATTGGACTTCTGGCTGGAGTTTTTAACATTTCCAAGTGTTCTCGCATGTGCTTCTTGAGTTTATCCTTGGAGAAAGTTATCCCACCAAGTACAGTAATTAATCCTTTTCTGAGAGCTGGGAGTACCCACAGGTCAGCTGTTAGTGAGTTCAGCTCTAAAGAGAAGAAGACATTTTCTTTAAATTGTCAGGAAACTTAGATCATGACCAAAGCCACTCGGCTTCTGGCAAACTATCAATCTGGACCCTCACCTACTTTAAAGTAAAGTGGTTATTAATATACAGAATTTTAGATAGATAGCCTAGGATAACCAATGAAATTCCACAGAAAGTTATTAAATTCATTCCTAACTTTGTTTTTCTTGGCTAACTGTCCTAAAGTGAACAAGCCAACTGAAAACCTCAGAGAGGATATTTTATCTTGCTCAAAGAAATGGATGAAAAACTCCCAGTTACTACAACCAAAGAGATTCAACATTTATTTTATCATAAAAGTCCAGCAAATAAAACTATATACAAGATCCATGCAAGGAATCCAGTTACACACAAGACACATTTAAAACCTGGTTAAAACACAATCTTCACAACAGCAGAGAATAAAACCAGTAAGACCAAGTATCTTTAGCGAGAAACATAATCGTGTTTATATTTTGGGTGTTGCTTGAATCCAATTCTGTCCCCAACAATGAGACACTGGATCACCCACTCTTGTGACACCACAGGCAGCTGCAATGCTTCAGCACACTTCAGCACCGAGGCTGGGCATGAGGGGTCTGTCACCACCACATCAAATACCCCCAAAGCAATATCTGCAAAAATGGGAGAAAGTGAATGAGGAAGGGAGGCACATCTAGCCCTCCACTGACAGACAGCTATGCCTTCTAGCAAATACACCCACTCTGTCCAAACTAAAGCCCTTCTATGTGAAACAGTGCTACTGATCACAACAAAAGTACAGAGTTCCATTATATGCTGACCTTGTAGAAATATGAGCAAAAATGCCACTGGAAACCAGTAGAAGCAAGAGCAACCCAATGCTCAATTTATGTTGGCTCACATCTTGAAGGTGGTATTTTTTTCTCTTAGAAACATGGATAAAGTCGACCTACTAGGGCTGAGACTTAGACCATAAGGCCTAGCAGCTATGAGTCTAAGGACATCCTTGGAGCAATCAACAGACACAGACACACACACCCACCCCCCTTTCCAGGTACCTTTGTTATGGGCACTTGAATGGTGCTGCTTCACAGAGGCTGCCCCCCCAGTCATGAGGATCTCAGACCAGAGCTCCAGAAAGTTTTGTTGTTGATCTGATACCAACAGTACCTTCAGATTCTGGAAGGGTTTTTCTCGGGGTTGCCTATGAAGGAGTCAGTCAGACACAATTACCTTATAATTTGAATGACCTTAGCATGACAGGTAATATCTCTCAAACAGCTGCCCTGCAGAGGGGCTCAAGGACATCTGAATGCTTTCAAAACTAAGCCTTGTATCATAGCACACGTATTACACCCTCATCTTCCCTCCTGTGAATGATGTACATTCTCTGGGATCCTGGCCAGAGAACATGGCAAACCCTTCTGCTTTCCATATTTGTCCTAGGGCCACAAGTAATCCAAATCATGTTCCTGAGCCTGTTATTTTCTTAATGCCTTGTTTAAAACTAGTTCCTTAGCCTCACAGGTTAAGAATACTGAATCAACATACAAATCCTCACACACTGTCCAAAGGTCCCTAACAATATATCCTAGAGAAATAAACTAAAAGAACTGCTGAAATAATTTCAAACCATTCAGATTCCTTAATTTATCCTTCCCTCATTCCAGATGCTGTTAACACTCACTCACCTAACTTCTCTCATCCAAAAGCCTGCTGTCTTCGTGTCTATTATAGTTTTAGATGGCCTCTCAAACTCACCAATCCAGAATTCTTTGCTCTTCAAGGCTGTACCCAGCTGGCAACAAATAATTGCGGTAGTTCTGGAGCTGGTTGGCATGGCAACTGTCATGGACCCAGACATGAGATACACAAGGAATTCCACTGGCAAGGCACAAGAAGTACTTTCGGGTTCGACAATGCTGATCCGCAATTAGGAGACACTGGTAGGCTGTGTTACACTAGAAGATACAGAGACCATGAGTCTGATAACTTTTATGGAAAGCCCCAGAAGAGCTTTAATAAGCCATGGAGAACAGATCTGAAGACTCCCAAAGGTAATCCAAATTTGATTAGCTATCCTTCTGCCAAAGCCACTTTTCTCACTGAAAGGCCCAGGTGGTTTCAACCTACTTATCTCCCTGTCTCACATACTTCCTGAGGGACTAAATCTTCAAAACCCATCACCATTGAGTTGATTCCAGCTCAGATAGCGACCCTAAAGAACAGAGAAGCACTGCCCCATAGGGTTTCCAAGGCTGCCACAACTTTTCTCCTGAAGTGTGACTAATGGGTTCAAACTGCTGATCTTTCAGTTAGCAGCCAAGTACTTTAACCACTGTGCCACCAGGGCTCCTATGAAATCCTCAAGGAACAACCAAACCCTGTGTATTTCAGACTAAGAATCAGCAACTTTAATAGACATTTCTACTAAACAAATGTCAATCTATTTTGGTCCCAGCAACAGAACCACTTCTCTTATTCAAGCCAAAGTTGTAACAACTCTTTGCTGGATGCAATAAAAATTCTATTGCATGCAGTAATTTTCTGGTAGTTTCCAGTTCTGAGACCTCTGGCTCCTTCACCCAATTTCCCTCACCCCTCTTAGGCTTCTTCTCAGTATAGCAAATACATTTGTATCTTTGCCACTCTGAAAAACTACACAAAGGAACTCCTTACCTGGGCTTCATTGAAGTCTTCAAGGATATAGCCAGCTCCTGCTCGAAGCTGGGATTCTGTATATTGCTTGTTGAAAGGAGGAATTTCTAAAAATTCTGTATCAAAAAACATAACCAAGAGAATAATTACTACTAGTTGGTTTCTTATTTGCTATTTTATGCCTGGCTTCTTACTGTTCCTTTTCCCACTCTCCGGCTATCTCCACAGCAATGTGTCCCCAAGACAGGTCAAGGACTTCCCCATGAGTCAGAGAGATTTGTCCTGAGGCTGCCTATAAAATACTGCCAAAAGAAGGGACAAGAGCAGGAGGAATGGGGAAGATGAGGAATGGAAGTAGGTCCTAGACCTAAAAACATCAACGGTTCTTGAAGAAGGGCTCCACTAAGACTTTGAGTCATGGGACTGTTTATAGGGATGGACACACAACTATTTCCCACAGTAGTGTATTCCAATTCAAATAACCCTTACTATCAGAAAGTTCTTCCTTATATCTACCCTAAACTCTCCTGCTGCAAACTAAGCCCATTTCCTCTAATTCTGCTTTCTGTGGAAATGAAGAATAGCTAATCAGCAGTTTTTATAATAAAGCCTTTACAATTCCCCTTCATTTGCATTTTTTACCCCCTTGTACACTAAAAATCTGATAAACCAGAATGCTCAAAATATGGTTTTTAAAATTTAACTCTGGGATTAAATTAAAGTTAGCCAGAAAATCCTGTTTTAACCTTTTTATTGAAAACTATCTACCTTTGATGATCTTGAAGTACCTCAGGACAATGAACATCAATGACTGCTCTACAATCTTGAGGGTGAAGTAGAAGATATGAGAGATGAGGCTGAAGCTGTAATGACCCTAGGCAATTACAAATTGCTTCTTTTGACCAAATATCTAATTTGAGCTTGTTTTCTTGTCATCTGCTCCTCTCATATATAAATAACACATTAAAAAAAAGAAAGAAAGAAAAAGAAAAGCAAGACATTAGAGATTTTAGTTAATTAGGAATTCTGGGAAATTAAGTTCTAATTAACTGAAATTTTATCACAAATAAAAAACCCAACATATAAAGTTCAATGCAAGGACCATTCCCTCTCCCCCATACCTAGTGGTAAAACCTGCTAGAGCAGACCCCCTTACAGAGATGGCTCCCCTGATGTGATGCCCTCCCTGCCTGCTGGCACTCTCAGGCAGCATCTGTGCCCCAGTCCCAGGCTTCTAACCTTTGTTTAGGTCTGATTTTTCCAGCCTACTCATTTTTATTGCCCTTTTCTTGATTCAAAATTCTCCACATTCTTCTCAAAATGAAAACCCAAACCAGAAACTCTAAATGGTTATAAGAAACCCAGAACACAGCAGGTCTAATCTTAGCTTTGTCATTGTATCCTTTTGACCGACCTCAGTGTATGACATCACACCCTTCAGCACCAAGAGTCTATTGCTGGGGCTCTGCTTACTCCCCTTATGGTCCTTTATTTTTCTCAAAATATATTTTATGTCTACTTAATCCAGGTGTTTCCAGTCCTGGCCTATATTGATTTTAATCCCCAATTATATTTCCTTGCATTTGGGTAATTAAATATTACCTTGCGTAGGCAGTCCATTTCTCTAGTTTTTCTCAATTAGTTTGGATTTGATTTTCTTTACTTTTGAGGTATGAGGAGCCCTGCCCAATCAGAGGCTACAATGAACAGGTTGTTAATTCCAACATCTAAATCAAGGATGCAGGTACTAAATAAACACAACTCCAGAATCAATCCCTGTGGTGGACTGGTCCCTCATGTATGTCCCATCCAATGAGACTCAGTACCATATTCTTAACTCAGTAAGTATGTCTATAAGATGGATTCAAATATTTTACTGACTTCCTGGCATCTCAAATTCTCATTTATCTGAAAGATCTATCATATAATTCTTTAAAAACTATAATCTGTCAAACTCTTTTAGTACAGGTATCTTCAGCCTTCTTAAGATTGAAGAACCTGTGAGCATGCCAAAAAAAGAAAAAAGAAGAGATTCTGATGCTGTGAGGGCATTGTCCAAGGGTAAAGGAGTCAAACACAAAGCAGACACATTCACCACAACCATACTTTCTACCAGAAACCTGAAGATCTTTTAAAAAAAAACCTGTCCAAATTCCTCCCCATTAAGACAAGGCCTACCTCCCTTCACTCATGGTTATAGGATGGGATTAAAAACATCTGATGAATAAGCAAAGGGGTAAGAGGGGATTTTAGAAGTGAAGTTTATTAGGTCTCATACTGGCTCATAGATTTTTTAAGGAATTAGCCTACATCTCATACCAAAGTCTGCTTTCATGACTAGGCTGGACCAAGCAACAAACTATCTACAGAGCTGCACTGTGAAGTCTTGGTCTAGGGCAGGGCTAGGATATTAGAGAATAAATAACAGAATCTAGCAATATTGTGAATGCAAAAGAAAATCTGATCATCAATACCGTTTCAAAGCTACTGACATACATACCTTTGCAGAATCCTCAAGGGGCTCCAAATAATTTATGATCAAAGTAAAACTCTTGACTTTTGGCTAGGAAACTCCTCAGGTACTGTATCACCCATTGGACCTATCTGTATTCTGTCTGACAAAGTAGGCTTTGTACATGCTTTACCATGAAACTTCTACACACATCACACTCACTCTCACAGCCGAATGTTCCCATCCCAGAGCCTCTACTAAGGACTTTCTGTCTATGCACCTTCCAAATAACAAACTTTAATTCTAACTCACTGATCACCCTTCCCATGTCCTTGTACAGATCTCTACATGGTTGTGGGTGGTGAGATAACTAGGAAAGCATCACCAACACACCTGAAATGTCAGCCATCACAGATCTTCAGTGGTGCTATTTTATGATAACCTTGTTGCCTAATTGGATTCCCTCTTAAAGATTCAACATTAGTTAGAAATCTTAACTTATACAACATCATCCAACTTGGCTGTTAGCCTTTACAGACATATCTAGGTACTTCTAACATCCACTTATAGTGTATATATACATTTGCATCTGCCCATTCTTCCTAGATCGCAAACTTCTGAACACGTGAAAGAAATAATGTTTACCTCTCCCTACTGCACCTTTCACTCAAACATTAAGTAACAGAAAATATAGAAAAGCAATGCATGAGTTTAGTCTAAGGTTGAAAGAGGTACAAAAGTTGAAAAGGCCTAAAAGCTGTTTCTCTGAAATCACCCTGGGGTATCTAGCATCCTCACATTCCTTATCTTACAGACCTCAAGAAACTGAACCTCACCCCAATATGGATTTATTCCAGCAGTTGCCCCTAGAGCACAAATGAGAAAGATGGCAGGAAAATTTAGAAACCTGACAGACTTGGATGATTGTAGCAGGGAAAAAGAACATTGGGTTTTAGTCCCAAATCTTCTATTATTGTGGACAAAAAGCAAGTATTTAACCTCTTTAAGCTTATTCACCCTGACCAAGATTCCAGTTGCCACTTGCCCTGCCTCTTCTACAACGGCAGGGCTGGGGGGCACACATGATCATAAAGGGAATGGGAAGGAAGGAAATGCACACGTTAGAGCCTCCAGGGCCTCCCAGAGCCTTACCCTCCTCTTCTTCACTGCTTCCTGAAGGACCGTCTGGCAGTTTGGAGCGGCTGGCCAACTTGTCACTGGTTGTGGCCATGGTGAGGAGAAAGGCATAGCCCAGAAACAAGGTCTTGTTGAGGGGCAAAGGTCCTCTCTGCTCTTCCAGGACAGAGAGCTCACCCAAGTTGTCTCCACTTTCACAAGGGCTCACAAACTCTCCTGCCCCCACTGCACCTGAGAAGAACAAAGGCACAGTGACTAGAGGGATACCAACCATTGTCAGGGCAAAGATGTAGCACCAAGCATGAGGTTCTGGATAGGCAACATCCCTGATGAATGAACACTTGAGCTGTGAACCAAAGGCCAACCATTCTAAACCCAGGACCAAATTTACAATGAAGGAAAATTTTACATTCATGACAATGTATACACATTGTTAGCAAAACCAAATACTTCGGAAGTCATCTGAAGAAAGATGTGGTTCTAATACAAAGAATAGGTAAGAGTGAAGAGTGGCAGGAAATCTTCAGCCCACTTTCCCTGCTTAGTGCTCTGTTACCTCAGGATATGTGATATATTTAAGCAGCCTGAAAACACAAACATTTAATTACCAAGAAACGTCCTTAGCAGGTAACTCCCACTCTACCCCTGACCCTCACCAGAAAGGTACATAAAATACTTGGAAATAAAGTGTTTTTTTCATGTTAATGGAAATACATCAAAATAGCCTGCTTCATCTATCCCCGTTTCCAACACCTGAGTGTAGGTAAGTGAACCAGCCAGTCCAGGACTCCCAGAACACCCATGCTAGGAGTGCCCCAATAAGTCCTCTGAGAAGAAAATGGACAGCTGACCTGGAAAAGCTGAATTGTAGGATCATTAGGAGGCTAAGATGACAGACAGGTCATGCCTCCCTAAAATAAAACCAGCAGCAAGAGAACAGTCTCAGAGACAATGTAACATAGTATTTACAAGCCTGGATGTCAAAGTCTGACTTCCTGAGTTTGAATCTTGGCTGATTTTTTGTCATCTTGAGCAAGTCAGCCAACTTTTGTGTGCCTGGATTCAACTGGAAAAGAAATTCTACCACCGATACTTCATAGGGATTATATGAGTAGAATATGGAAAGCACTTAGCACCATGCCTCACACATCTAAGATAGTTCATAAATGTTAGCTATTATATTGTTGTAGTTTGTAAGTACCCTGAACCACCACAGAGGTGTTGAGTAGATAAAGACATGACAGACAGGAGCTCTAGTGCCGCCAGACCAATGGAGTAATCAAAGGAGTTGGCTCAACTGATAGGATTTTCAGGGCAGAAACTGAACACTTTACCTCTGTACTCCCAGAATTTAAGAGTGGCAGGGTCTGGGTCATAGCAGAGACTCAATAAACAATAAATGGATTGAACTCCTTTCTTAATATCAAACATGAAGGGGCAGGAAAAGGGCTGTTTGAGTGACAGTGGAGGGTGGTAGGCACAGGCTGACCACATACAGCCTTTCAATACCAAGTTTCAGAAAGCCAGAGGGCTCTGAGCACAAGGGAGAAGAAAACAGAGTTTCCAAAAGGCAGAAGATAGTGCCAAGCAATGAAAGACAAATTTTACCTATTTTGAATCTGCTTAAGATTCAATACTTCTCTTTCCCTCCTAGAACCTAGACATGAGTCAAAAACAATTTTTGGTAGAGTCCTGACCCCCTATCTACTCCCAATGGACTGTGGCCGAAGGATTAGGGGGATGCAGTAAGCTGTGTCTAAGGACCACCTTTGGGCTTGTGAAGGACACCAACTTTGTAGCCAGGACAGAGAGGCCGTTGTCACATATTAGACTCCATCTCTCCATCAGTTATTACTACATTCTGCTGTGGTACCAGAGAGAATGAGGCAAAACAGAGCACTCACCAGGTTTCAGAGTGGCAGACTTTCGGCCACGTTTGGCAGGGGACCGCTCCTCTTCAGAAGTGATAAGTTTTCTTTTGCCTGAGAGAACTCCCATGGAGGCACGAGGGCTTTCTGTGATCTTACGGGTAGGAGTTGTGCTGCTGCTACTAGAGGCAGTGGGGGTGGCTGGGGAACTGACGTTACTGCGCCGTTTCCGCTTCCCTTCCACCAAATTGTCTATGGTAGGATAAGCCAAAGGATGGTCAATTCCCATGGTCAGAGACCCTGAACGCCAAGAATCTGGGTAGAACCTAATCCAAACACCACAGCGCTCTTTACCCCACACCTCCCATGGAGACAGAAGCCTATTCTAAAGCTAGCATGTTTTCTGGTCCAGTCTTAGCCATGAGTGAAGATGTGTTTGGTCTCCTGCAGAAATGGAAAGGCCAGAAAAACCCTGAGGACTTACTATTTAGTTCTAGAAAGGAAACAAAGATAGGCAGTGGCTCCAGAAAAATGACAGCTTATCACCATCTGATAAGCCACATACAGAAATAATAAAAGTTAGGGTATTAACAATTATTCCAGAAAGCACTCCTCCCACCACAACAGGGCAGGGGCCCAAAGAAAGCTGTTCAGGAAGCAAAGTTCTTACCTAAGCTGATATCTGCTGCTTTGGTGAGGGGTGTTACTGCTTCATATGGGCCAAGTCCATATTGTTCTCTCAGTCTGTTGCCTTGCTCTAAGGACAAGATGACAGCCATTCGCTTATACCACTTCCGCTGGCCTTCTTTTTCAATGCTGTAGTACAGCTCCCCAGACTCCTTCCTATGCCCTTTCACCACTCCTAAGGGAAAAAGAACAGAAGTTTACTGCTGTATACGCTGCAAGCACCCTCTCAACAGGGCTTTGCAGAATAGGCCTGAACCAAGGAGTTCAGAGATCCAACAGAAGAATGTCAATTCCAGGCAACACCACCACGGATATATGTGCAGCTACTAACCTAGGGATGGGACAAGGAAAATTTCCCAACAGAAAGAGGTCTTCACTTGTTTTTTAAAAAATAAAGCTAATCTCCAAAGCCAGTCTTTATAGTTTATTAAGTTCAAAATGGTTGTCTAGAAGTGAAATAGAATTTTTTTTTTCTAATTTCTTTTGGAGCGTATGAGTGATAATTCTTGAATGAAGGCTATTGTAGGTGAAAGATAGCATCATTCTAAGAGAGATAAGTGTGTGTTGTGTATGTGTGTGTGTGTGTGTGAGTGAGAGATTAGGGGTGTGGAGGAGAGCCTAATCTTTTCTCCCTATTGCCTGCTCTCCTGCTCTTGCTCTGATCCCAGTCCTACAGAAGGCCTTTAGGTTAGAAGGCCAATGTAAGGTAAATGGAAACTGGGCTAAAATTCAGGAGACGTGAGCCTAGGTCTAATTCTACTACCACCAAGCTGTGGTGGTAGTAATCTTGAGTAAAACCTGTGTTCAATCACTGGAAGAGATAACGCTCCTTTCCCTTTATCAATCAAATTAGTGGGTTATATTAGTCTAAAAAGAGGTATGTATGCAATATAAAAACAAAGCATTAATAGAACATTTTTTCATTCCTACAAACAGGTACATTTTATTCTCTTCCATTAGCCTCTGTTGAAATGAAGCGCTAAAGTGACTACCCCACCAAGGAAGAGTACAGAGAACCATAAATGGTTCTCTCATGTATGCCACAGAATCATCTCTTCCCCCTTGCTTATTCACCCTCTGCCTTAAATTTCTACTGCCAAACAAAATCTCAAATATCCTTCCAAAAGCAGAAAGAAGCCCAAGGCCTATAATACACTTCATACTACTGAAGAAGTGCTTGAACTAAAAACAGTCCAATGTTGACACTAGTAGCCTCAATTACTGGAACATAAAATCCCCATCCTTGATGTCATGATTCACTCTCGATACAGAATTGTCTACCTTTGCTTTAAGAAGGCCAAATGAGGATCTCCAAGAGTGGCTTTCACACTTGACAGAAGAACAAAGGCAATTAATACACACAACCCATGTGCTACTCAAAAATACACACAACCCATGTGCTACTCTAAACTGAAGCCATATACAGAACTAGAAGGTGAAGTAGCCCACTCAACAAGGAAAGGGGCAAACATTAACTACTTGGAGAAAAAGATTCCAAATCACAAGAGAGCCTGACGAGGCTTCAATATAAAAGCATTTTTACCCATTATATCCCAATCCATGTTCCAAAAAATCCCAGAAAGGATTTTTTTTCAATGATAAACTCAACACAAACATGGACCTCCAAAGCGGTTCATAGAAAGGAGACAGGGTTTTCAAAGAATCAGTATATGAAACAGTAATAACACAAATCCTTCAGCATCACTTATAGAGAACTAGTATTAAAAAAAAAAAAAAGTTCTTCAAACCAGAGTAAGAAGTGGGTGCACAGGCATATGAACGAAGCACTAACAACTTCGTAAGCAAATATATCTAAATTCTATCTGCCATACTCACTCACTGGGTTTCCATCAAAGTAGGTAATAAATTTAAAAGTCAGTGGTAAAAGAATACAATAAGGAAAAAACAGTAACTTTAAAGTGGAGAAATTGGCAAACACTACCTTAACCAGCAATAATCAACAGTGATGCCATATGCATATCATGCACCCCTGATATGATGTGATGAGAAGCACACTTCACCTCTGTGGCAATTTAAAAACTCCACAGTCCCAGTCTAATCATGAGAAGACACCAGACAAACCCAAACTGAGGTTGCTGTTCTTACATGTTGTCTCCGACTCAGTGACCTAATTCACAGCAGAATAAAACACCGCCCGGTCCTGTGCCAGTCTCATGATCGTTGCTATACCTGAGCCCCTTGTTGTAGCCACTGTGTCAATCCATCTCGTTGAGGGCCTTCCCCTTCTTTGTTAACCCTCCACTTTACTGACCATGATTATCCTTCTCTAGGGAATGGTTCCTTCTGACAACATGACCAAAGTAGGTGAGACGAAGTCTGGCCATTCTAACTTCCAAAGAGCATTCCAGCTGCACTTCTTTCAGGCAGATCTGTTAGTCCTTTTAGCAGACTGTGGTACTGTTAGCATTCTTCTCCAACACCATAACTCAAAAGCATCAACTCTTCTTCAGTCTTCCTTATTCATTGTCCAGCTCTCACATGCATAAGAGGCGAATGAAAACACCATGGATGGGTTAGGCGCACCTTACTCTTCAAGGAGACATCTTTGCTCTTCATCACCTGAAAGAGGTCTTTTGCAGATTTGCCCAGTATGTCATCTGATGTCTTAACTGCTGCTTCCATTGGTGTTGATTGTAGAACTAAGTAATATGAAATCCTTGACAACTTCAGTCTATTCTCCATTCACCATGAAGCTGTTTACCAGACCAGTTGTGAGGATTTTTGTTTTCTTTATATTGAGGTATAATCCATACTGCAGACTGCAGTCTTTAATCTTCATCAATAAGTGCTTCAAGTCATCTTCACTTTCAGCAAGCAAAGTTGTGTCATCTGTGTGTCGCAGGTTGTTAATAAGTATTCCTCCAATCCTGATGCCACGTTCTTCTTCATATAATCCATCTTATTGGATTATTTGCTCAGCATACAAGTTGAGTGAGTATGGTGAAGGGATACAACCTTGATACATTCCCTTCTTGATTTTGAACCATGCAGTATCCCCTTGTTCTGTTTGAATGACAGCCTCCTGATCTATGTACAGGTTCCTCATGAGTATAATCAATTGTTCTGGAATTCCCATTCTTATCAATGTTACCCCTAATTTGTTATGATCCACACAATCGAATGCTTTTGCATAGTCAATAAAACGTAAGTAAACATCTTTCTGGTATTCTTTGCTTTCAGCTAAGATCCATCTGACATCAGCAATGATATCCCTCGTTCCACATCCTCTTTTGAATCCAATTTGCATTTCTGGAAGCTGTCAATATACTGCTACAATCGTTTTTTAATTATCTTCAGTAAGATTTTACTTGCATATGATATTAATGATACTGTTTGATAATTTGCACATTCTGTGGGATCACCTTTCTTTGGAATGGGTACAAATATGGATCTCTTGCAGTCAGTTGGCCAGGTAGCTGTCTTCCAAATCTCTTGGCATAACCGACTAAGTGCCTCCACCAGGCCACTCTACAAGATACCTAACCAGTACTCCTCAAAACTATCTAAAGTTGTAAAAAATAAGAAAAAACTGAAAAATTGTCACAGAGCAGAGGAGACTAAGGAGACATGATGACTAAATGCAATGTGATATCCTGGAGGATCCAGGAATAGAAAAAGAACATTATGGAAAAACTGGTGAAATCCAAATAAAGACGGGAGTTTTAGTTCACAGCGGTATACCAACACTGTTTCTTAGTTTTAACAAATGTACCATGTTAAGATGTTAACAACAGAAGAAACTGGTAAGGGGTACATAGGAACTCTCTGTACCATCTTTGCAACTTTTCTATAAATCTAAAATTATTCCAAAATAAAAGTCTATTAAAAAACAAAAGTAATAATCAGCTATGAGAGTAACCATTATTGCAGGAATGGAATTCCTGACTTGAAAGACACTAGAAAAGTAATCAGGCTGGAATGAATGCTCTTGGTAATCTCCATGAGAATAATGTCCCAAACAAACAAACAAAAACCCCCCTGCCATCGATCCAATTATGACTTATAATAACCTCATAGGATAGAGTAGAACTGCCCCACAGGTTTTCTAAGGCTGTAAATCTTTATGGAAGCAGATTGCCTCATCTTTCTCCCATGGAGCAGTTGGTGGGTTGGAACTACCAACCTTCTAGTTAGCAGCCAAATCCTTTAACCAATGCATCACCACAGCTCCTTAAATGTTGCCCCGGGGCACAGTAAAATCTCTACAGACCATGTTTCTTTTATTACCTGCACTGAAATACTCATCCTCCGAGAGGGCAGTCACTTCAGTATCCAGCGGGATGGGGTCACACAATAGAATGTCTTTGCCCAACACATCACACTCGTACCCATCATCAAACAGCAATTTATACTTCCCAGCTCCAACATCTCGTGTGATTTTCCCAGAGTAAAAATAGCCATTGGATGACCATTTGGCTACAACTCGAAGCCCTACAAAGCTATTCCCTGGAGAGGAGGTATCTAAGCCATCAGAGGGGCCAGCAGCAGCCTGAAACGGAATCTCTGGAGAGTCGCTGCGACGCAAAGCACCAGTATTCATGTCTGTTCGTCTGGTGGAGTCTGATACTCGGGGCACAATACGGGTGAAGGATTTATCATCTGATGACATGTTGGATGAAATGTCTTCTATGCTCAAGGGGCCAGGTACAGCTGTTTCTCTGAGGAGAGATAAAATAAAAGACAGGATAAAGAAGTGAGAATAAAAAGATATATATACATACTACCAATCTTCCCACTTCTTTGTCCATGGGTCTCTTCAGCCCATTCTTCAATAACCCCATCACAGGCACAAGCCTGGTCTTTCAATGGACTCATTCTGATCCCTGCCCACTCCCCAGTCAATGTGGGCCCCTCTTCTCCCTCTTTACACCCCACATACTCTCTACTCCCCTCTCTTATCTCTACTCCCTTATTTTTTTTCTAAGTAAGCCACGGACTAAATGTGTCTCACACTACCCGGGTACCTGGTTCCAGTGGTCCGAGAAGGTGGGCGGCCCCTTCGCCCGCGCCCACGAGGCGTGACGGGAGCCTTCCCTCCCTGTCTGATGCCAAGGCCTGCATCACCATCCTCCTCACACACTGGCGCCCCTGTCTGACTGACCCCTTTTCTAGGACTAGAGAATGAAGACAGGTTAGTCTGATAGCACCTGCTACTGAATCCTTTCTTCACAGTCTCCCCCTAGCCCTCAGACTATAAAAACCAAAAACCAAACTCACTGCCATCAAGTCAGTTCCGACTCACAGCAATCCCTCCTTGGGTTTCCGAGGCACTATCTCTATGGAAGTAGTTGCCCAGTCTTCCTTCCAAGGAGTGGCTGGTGGGTTTAAACCACCAGTCTTCTGGTTAGTAGTCAAATGCCTTAGGCACCACACCACCAGGCCATATATGCCATATACTGAATCTCTACGGCAGCAGGAAGCTGGGCCACACAACTACCAACCAAATCTCAGCCAGCAAGTAGGCAGTATGGGATAGTAAGCAATAACTTTTTCCTCTATGCAAACCTATTCCCTCCTAACAAAATTTCCTACTGCTGCCTTCAAACACAGCACACCCATTTCTCCCCTGCCTTTTCCTTTACTTCAGGTTCTGGACACTTAAAGAGGATAAAAGAAAAAGTTAGAGGAAGAATCCAGTTGGGGCTACTAACCCAAACTTTCTATATTCTCAATCAAAACACTCATAGGCTACAGAATACGGGAAAGGTAGGAGCATCTTCCCTTGCTCCAGAGCACTCCCAAAGTCCCATCACCTATTTTCCACATTTTCTTAGGGGCTTCTTTATCAACAAAATCTACTTCCCACAGGGCTCCACCCTACTTCCCATGCAACCCAAAATAGGACAGAACAAGTGAGTAGAGGAGAAGTCAATTTATCCTAGGAGGAAGATGGGGCAGATTTCCATAACTCCCCTTTTCCTGTGATATCAAAATGCCAGCAACCCTGCCCCTACTTTAGCTCTCCCTCTGGAGACCCTGTCTGCACCTCAGTTTTCCTGGGCCTCCTCGAGAGCTGGGTAAGGCAAAATCTGCGGGTTCTGTCCCGCTGGTTTTCCCTTTGAGTGGTCCGGCTCCTCTTCCTGAGCTGCCACTGCTGTGCATGGCTGAGAGACTCGTCCCACTTGATGTGCGATGTAAGCTGGATGCTTTGGAGGAGAATGAGCTGATATCCCCCAGGTCACCTGAGGAGCCCCCAGTCTGTGAAGGGGAAACTTCAGTTTCACACTCCTGACATTCTACAACTGGTTCTTCAGTCTCCTAAAAGGAAGAAATGGATACAGAAGCTCAAAGAAATCACAGTAACAATGCTAATGTTATAGTTTGAAAATCCTAGAGACTGAAAGAAAAGTGGGACTCAAGAGGGAATTTTACGGAATAATGAAAATGTTTCTATCATGTTTTGGGTAGCGGTTACACAGACATATAAATTGTCAAAATCTACTAAAATGAGCATTTTTTACTGAAACTACATTATACCTCAATAAAAAATAAATATGGTAATAGATTGTGAAGATAGAGACCTCTATACTAAACTAAGTTAAATTATCATTTCACTGGACAAGTTCACAAACTTTGGCCACCAAGAAACCAACAAGAATTCTTGCTCAGAGGACAGAGGTAACTCCTTGTCTGAGCTAAGGAGACAAGTAGTCAGAGGAGGAAAATTACTGACTGTTAGGAGCTCTTCTAGGTACCTGATTAGCAGTTGGTAGCATTCCATATGTATTTTTTTACCTTAGTTATTTTTTGCTATCTTTCAATAAGTGATCAAGCAAATAGAAACTTAAAGTTAAAATGGTATTACTATTAGGAAAAAAATGAAGAACAAAGACGTTACGATGCAAATATATGAGTTTTCAGTATTTACAGACCATATGAACATCAAACTCACATGCCACATGCCTACTTTGATGGATTAATAGTGGTCGCTTTGAGCTCATTTTTAAGAAGTCTTCTAAGTGAAGCTCAGTGGGAAAAGGTGTTAAATCTAGCTCAGTGCCTGCCCCAAAATAGTCCTCCAGTAAATATTTATTGAGTGAAGGATCTTCATCTCAAACCAGTAGCCTACTTATATTCTGTATCTCAGTATAGAGGGTCACCATCCCTCCAGCTGCCTAAGGCAAAACCCCAGGAATCATGCTAGATTCCTCCCTCTCCCTTAATCTCTACATTCAGAAATTCATCAGAGCCTATCAATTTTACTTTCAAAATATTTCTTCTACAGTGAAAGCACTAAGAGCCAGAACTTGACAGGACTGCTTTTTTTTAAAAAACAGATGTCACATGTTTTCTGCCTTTGACAAGGTACAGTCTTACCACTTTTCTATCACTCTTTATTAATGGAAAATATATGCAATTTCCTTCTCTGACAGGTTTCCATCTTACAAAAGTTCTGGGCTTTTGCAGGTTTTACTATATAAACTCCTCTCCCCTCAACCTCTATTTCAACTGTCCTAATTTGTAACACCTCTTTCCTAACTATGCCTCTAATCTCAACCCATTCCAATCTACTGTCACACAGATCCTTCCAACCTACAAATGTAAGCATATCACTCACTTTCCCAAAATTATTAAAGGATACCCATCACACAGAAGATAAAAATCTAAACTTTCTTCTGTGATATACAAAGCCTTTTATGCTTTGGGTTCTTAACAATTTCTCTAGGATCTCTCTCACTATTCCCCAACCCACACAATCCTGTCATATTGAGTTTCAAGATATTCAACAAGTATGATGCATGCTGTCTATACTATTTACACAACTTTTCATTCTGCTTGCAATGTCCTTTCCTCTTATTCCTTAACATTGTCTGCCAAATTTTTTTTAAATTATGATTTGGGTGGAAGTTCACAAAGCAAATTCATTTTCCATACAGCTGTACATAACATTTTGTTTCGTGACACTGAATTCCCATAGTAAAACAGCTCTCTTCCCACTTACTCCCACTTATTCCCTGTGGTTACCTTTTCCGTGTCCTTCTTTCTTACGCATTCCTGCCCTCTGAGCTATCTACCTGTACAAATACTGCCCTTCTGATCACCCACAATTGATTGTTCTAAGGAGTGTGCCTGTTGTTGTTGTTGTTAAGTGCCGTCGAGTCGTTTCCGACTCATAGCGACCCCATGCACAGCAGAACGAAACACTGCCCGGTCCCGCGCCAGCCCCACAATCCATGCTATACTCGAGCCCATCGTCGCAGCCACTGTATCAATCCATCTCCTTGAAGGCCTCCCCCTCTTTCGTCGACCCTCCACCCTACCAAGCATGACATCCTTCTCCAGGGAATGGTCCCTTCTTACAACATGACCAAAATAGGTGAGACGAAGTCTGGCCATTCTTGCTTCCAAGGAGCATTCTGGCTGCACTTCCTCCAGGACAGATCTGTTAGTTCTTTTAGCAGTCCACGGTACTTTCAGCATTCTTCGCCAGCACCACAACTCAAAAGCATCAACTCTTCTTCGGTCTTCCCTATTCATTGTCCAGCTCTCACATGCATACCAGGCGACTGGAAATATCATGGCTTGTGTCAGGCGCACCTTAGTCCTCCTCAAGGAGATATCCTTGCTCCTCAGCACTTGAAACAGTTCCTTCGCAGTTGACTTCCCCAATGCTACACGTCGTCTAATGTCCTGACTGCTGCTTCCGTTGGCATCGATCGTAGAACCAAGCAACGTGAATTCCTTGACAACCTCAATCTTCTCTCCATTTATTGTGATGCTGCTCATTGGTCCAGTTGTGAGGATTTTTGTTTTCTTTATGTTGAGATGTAATCCATACTGCAGACTGTATTCTTCAACCTTCATCAGTAGGTGCCTTAAGTCATCCTCACTTTCAGCAAGCAAAGTTGTATCGTCTGCGTATCTCAGGTTGTTAATGATTCTTCCTCCAATCCTGATATCACGTTTTTCTTCATATAGTCCAGCTTCTCGGATTATTTGCTCAGCATATAGATTGAATAAGTGTGGAGAAAGAATACAACCCTGACGCACTCCCTTCTTGATTTTAAACCTACCTGGTGTAAATGTTCGCCTTATATACCTGTCTATTGTTTGGCTGTAAGCCACATCTGCCAAACTTTTTGGAGCACTGCCTCTACTGTGAAGTCTTCTAGTTCCTTCAGTAGGCTTGCAGGCTCCATCTGCTCTTTCTAACAGATCTTCTCCACACCTGCACCTCAGCAATCAATAAGTTCTGGATTTGCTGTATGTCAACCCTAAACTCTTAGAGAACAGGGACCCTGTCTTTTTCTCTTCACATTCCTAATGTCTGTAACAGCGCTAAAGAACTCACTGGTAAATAAATTAACAAAATCTTTTAACAAACTATAAAAGAAACAAGGGCTATAAGAGATGAGGTAAGGGAGAAGTTCTTCATAGTTATATTTCTTCTTCCTTTCCTAAGCGTGGAATAGCTTCATGCTTAGGAGTGTTTCCTAGAGTTCTCTGGATCCACGATCTGGCCTTAGACACCTGCCTACCTTCACTCTCCTACACATCTAAGCGCTGCCCACCAGCTAGTCTATCCCCCCCCCCACCGTGTGCTATATACATGCCTTTGTCCACCCAAGCCTTCTACATGGAATACATTGTCCCCTTATTTCCCAAAATCTAAAACCTTTAATGCCAAACTCAAATGCTACCTCATCTATAAAGACTTTATCACAATTCCCTTCAGATGAGTCTCTTCCTCCTCTGAACTATGGTATGCGCCTTTAAAAATATATATATATATATATTGTAATTTGGGTGAAAGTTTACAGAGCAAATTCATCTTACATACAGCAGTTCACATACATGTTGTCTTATGACATTGACTACAATTTACCACAATGCAACAGCTCTCTTCCTACTTCCTCCCCATAGTTACACCTCTTCTCTGTGTCCTTCCCTCCCATGCAGTACTGCCCCCTGAGCTGTCTCCCTGTGCATACACAGCCCTTCTATTCTCCATGATTGATCTCTCCAAGGAGTGTATCTACCTAATGTAAATGTTCACCTCATATGTCTCTCTTGTTTGGCTGAAAGCCACAAGAGTAGGTTCAATTCCAGACCTGAAGGCAGCTAGGGGCCATAGCCTCAGGGGTTCCATCAGGCTCTATCAGATAAGCAAACCTGGTCCCCCTTTTTTAATTTTCAATGATTTTGAGTTTTGTTCCACATTGTTCTCCCACTCTATCCAAGATCTCCTACACAGATCCCCCTCTGAGTGGTTGACAGTGGTAGCCAGGAACCATCTAGTTCTTCTGGTCTCATAGTCATATAGGCTGAGGATCACGTGGTATACCAGTCCCTTGGACTAATTGTTTCCATGCATGTTTGGTTTTCTTCATTCTTCTTTGCTACGGATGAGGAGAGACCTGTCGTTGCATCTAAGATGGCTGCTTGTAAACTTTTAAGATCCCAGTCGCTACCCACCAAAGTAGGGTGTGGAATAATGTTTTTGTGTAGCATATTATGCCAACTGAGCTTGTGACCATGGTCCCGAGCCCACAGGTCCAACTATTCTCTCTCCGGGTAGCTGGCTGTGGCTAAGAAGTGACTACAAACTTGTCCCTTGTCAGCTCTACTATATACATGGAAATTCTTACAGAACATACAAATACACTTACAGAAACATTGTCTGCCAACCCTATACATGGTCATGGTGATATGTGCCTTTTTTTTGATGTGTATTACTTCTGCTCTTGATAGACAGCATGATGCAGTGATAAGAAATTGGACTCTACAACTAGCCTGCCTAGGCTGAACTCCAGTTCCTCTATTAGTTGTATAACCTTGAGTAAGTTACTTCAACTTGCAATGCCTCAGCTTCTTTATCTGCAAATGTTATGAGAATTAATTAATTCACTTAAAGTCCTTAGAATACTGCCTGGCACATAGTAAGGGCTCAATAAATGTTAGTCATTATTATTATTATACTTAATCACCACAGAGTTTCCCAAACTATGCTCCACAGAGGCAAAATAAGTATTATTTTAAAAGAAAGTTCAACGGTCAAGTAAGTTTGGAAAATGCTGGGTTAAACAAACAAAATAGGCACCTTTACTAAAGAACTTAATAGAGCCTTTAATATGGTAATAGGCACTGTGAATCCCAGTAGGGAAAAGGAATTACAGATTTGATGTTTCTCAAACTTATGTCTACGGAACTTTTTTCCCCTCTCAGAGTATCTAGCATGCTTGTTTCCAGAAATATACTTTAGAAAACACTACATAAAATATTAAATGAAGTAGTATTATAACTAATGTAGTAGCTGACAGAGTTCAATATGGACAGCTCATAAAGGCAAACTGTTTTTCTATAAATCTGCTAAATTCTTATTTTCCAAAATAGCAATAGCACTGAAAAGAACTCCACAAACATAAAAATGAAGATGAATCAATACTTTAATGGAGTATTTCTGGGATATGGTATACAGGAAGTAAAGATAATTTCTCAAATAAATGTCAAATGTCATCTGACATCAGGGGTACAGTGGCCCATTGTTGAACAGCAGTACTAATATGTTCCATTAAATAAAACCATATACCAGAGTTTAATTCTATCTGGATACAACTTCCTAAATGGCTAGCAGACAGAATTAAAGTATGTGGGTAAATTAAAACAAAAAAAGGAAAGAAGGAATAAAACAGCTGTACCTCTTACCAATTAATGATTCCCAGATCTTAACATATGCATCAAGAAAAGTCCCATACTTTCAATTTGAGACAATCTGTCTAATCTCAGCCAGTATTAGTTCTAAGTAAAATCAACCTGTGATGGTGCCCAACGTAACAAATAGTCAATAAATGTCAATACCATTATGACATCTGAAATCAGTCCATAATGAAATGAAGATGCATTTCTTACCAACAGGTGCATAACTACACATGCATAAGATACTAAGAAAGAACACAATGAGTAAACACATGAAAATACATGAGATAATGAGAAAACAATGAGGAAGTACATGCAGCTAATCAGGGAGCTCTAAATTTCATTCAATTTTTCAGGAATTAAAAATATTATATAAAATACTTATATTTATACATGAGAAAAATTTAGAGATATTAATTTGGTTAAATAATAGACCAAAGGTCAATAGGAAACCCAAGGTTGGGAAAGACACAGAATTTGGGACCTTGTTTCTAACCCAGTTTTTATAACTTGTAGTCATTAATCTCTTTGCTTTCTGATTAAAAAAAGGTGGGGGGGGGAGGATACAACAGTAAACAAAGAGTTAATAACTAGTTGCACAAAAAATGGGAGCCAAGGTGATTTTTCTATGGAACAAAAGTTGCCACACAGACTGTTACCTCAGTTACTTTTCTTTCTACTTCTGTCCCATCCACATAATACACATCTGTGATGACACGAGTGACAAGTGTGCGTACTTCACGGATTGTTCGCATGTGGCGATGCAAGACATGGCCATGTGGAGGCTGAGGCATATCAAATTCTTCCTCTCCCTGTGATGTGGAAATAGAACACATGCACGGGCCTCAATGCAAACTGACAGAACCACAAATCAAATTCATGATGAGCATTGTTCAGAGATTCCATGAATCTACTGTGATAGAATTTTCCAACTGATTTGTTTTCGATTCAAAGACCAGAGATGGACCAGCTGTACAGCCAAATGCTAAAAGGAGTCTGTATCCTAAAAATGATCTAAAATGACCTATTTCTGTATAAATCAGAATCATAACATTCAGCCCTTATAGTTGAGGGCTATTTAGGTAAACCTCTGATCTCTAAAAGCACATTATTTTTAGACTGTAATTCCTCTGATTTTGATGTTAGCTTGTCAATTAACACAACTGGCCCTCTGTATCCGTGGGTTCAGCATCCAGCTGTGGACTGAAAATATTCAGGGTAGGGGAAGCAATTAAGAGGTCAAAGCAATCCCTCAAAGGCTAAAAGGGAGCATAAAGTGTATTTACTTTGTATTAAGTATTATAAAAGCTCTCTTCCCACTTACTCTAATCTAGAGATGATTAAAAGTATATGAGAGGATATGCATAGGTTATACAAAAATACTACACCATTTTATATAAGAGACCTGAGCAACTGCAGATTTTTATATCCACAGGGTCCTGGAACCAATCCTCCATGGATACTGAAGGACGACTGCATACAAGTTTACACTTGCAACAGCTCTTTAAATTTTCTGAAAAGAGGAAGGCATTCCTTAGTCCTTTACATAAAACCAGAATGACATACCTGCTCATCTCAGTGAAGTCTGTTTTTCCTGCATTAGTAGTGAAAACCATAGTTTATTTATACCTGGAACAAGGTACACTGATTTCTCCCAGAATTAAATATGAAATATTTAATCTATTCCAAAGAATAGATTATGGCTAGAGAGTTGACCTAGTGTCCAGAAACAAGAAATATTACCAAATTAGGATTCTGTATCTAGTTCTACTGTAAAGAATATATAATCAGTTAAATAGTTAAAATAAGACCCTATATTTATGACAACTGTTTCATAAAATTATTTAGGGAGACTGAGCCTCTTTCATTCAAAAAACATTAAATAATCATTTTCTGAACACCTTATGGGTACCAGGCACAGAGTTAGACATAAACACTTGATAGAAAATTCAGGACAGGTATAATCTAACATTTCTGAAATAATTTAAAATGTATTCGCTCTCATTTACAAAAATGTAAGACAACCTCCATCAAACAAACTAACTAAAATAGCACCCAAATTCATTATTCTGCGTTTATTACTTCTATTTACATTTAACCCTGAATTCATGCTTTAGTAACATCTGGATAATTTAAAAAAAAAAAAGATAAATTATTAGCAAATAAGATCTCAAAGTCCTACTTACTACTTCTAATCATTAGTTCTTTTAGCGTTCCAGTCTTTACTACCTAGGACTTGCCTGTGGCCAATAACATGCCAACAACATGCTAGAATTTCAATCTTGTGTTTCTTAACAAATGCATGTCTTCTCATAATGCCTATTTATCCATTTATCCACACGTGTACCCCCACCTCCATTTTACTTTGCAATTCTGAAGAGGACAAAATGCATACTTTTGTGTCCCACCTTATTTCCCCCGGGGCAGGCTGGTTTTACTTTCAGCAGTCAGTATCAAGGTAACAAATCTTTAATAAGAATTACATGTACCACTGCAGTAATGGTGATTCTGGGTTTTTCTTGACAAGATGGAAGTAATTTTCCTAAATTTACTAAAGCTTTCAATAATTTACCTGAGTAATTCCCACTCCAACACCATCTTTAGGGATGAAACATCTGCTAAAATAGAGATGTGTAAATTTTGTGAATAAATATAAATATTCAACCAGTAGTTATCCATTAAAATATTTCTGTATACACAACTCTGGTTAATGAATGGGTCAGAGCATATAGGTCTGTCACATCTCAATCATCAGAGTCCCCACACATCAGAACCGAGATACCGTGCCACATGTCCTGCCAGCACAGTCTGACTACTGCCTTTTACAGAGAGTGTCAGTATGTGAATTAGGGTCTAAAAGATTTCAGTGTGTGTCTCAATGTTCTTCCAGTTACAACAACCATCCAAATAATCACCACAACAGAGACAACGACTTAAACATGTCTGATAAATAAGAAAGTAAAAGGAGGAAAAGTAGGTAGATGAAAGGGAAAAAAAGAAAAAGAAAAAGCTACACTTACTCTCTCTCCAAATAGTCTTCTGAAAAGAGGTCGCTGTAAAGACAAATAACTTGAGGATCTTTGTCATTGATAAGGGAAGAAAACAAAATGAAAATAAAAGCACACTTTTCTCTTCAGAGAAAATCTGGCTCCAGGTCTAGTGATACATAAATTAAAATTCAAAGAACAACAAAGTAAACTGCTTATGCTTTTTGACTAGTACTGGCTGGAGACTATCCACACTGTTAAGGATAAAAAGACCTGACACTCTAGGAAAACCTCCATACAGCTTTCCTCAGTTTCCTCCCATTCTTCAAAAATGGCATATCAGTGCTATATTTTTCTATCACTTTGCCTATCCTAAGAAGCTCTGGTGCCATAGTGCTTAAAGCATTCAGCTGCTAACTGAAAGGTCAGTGGTTCAAACCCTATAGCTGTTCTATGGGAGAAAAGATGAGGCAGTCTGTTTCCATAAAGATTTACAGCCTTGGAAACTCAATGGGGCAGTCCTAGTTTACTATGAGTCAGAATTGACTCCATGGCAGTAGGTTTACTTTTATTCTCATCTGAGCAGGAGTACCTAGTCTCAAATGTGTTATTTCATTCTGTATGACATAACAGTAGAAGTATATTATCACTAGTAGTTATAGTGTTGATTGGCAGCAGTGGTAGTAATTAATAGTAATAATAATCATAACAGGTAGCAGCAGCAAACATATATTGCACATTTGCTATGTGCCAGGCCCAGTGCCACATGCCTGGCATTCCTTATCGCATTTAATCCTCATAATACCCCACTGTGGTAGTTAACTATTACCCTTTTTTTACAGATGAGGAAACTGAGGCAGAGAGAGGTGAGGTCAAAGAGTTAAAAAATGATACAGTGGGAATTCAAATCTAGTCTGACTCCAAAGCTTAGGAACTTAACCACTCTGGCTCACTGTCTCCCATCATCATAATGAGATACATGCAGAGATTATTTCCCCTATTTTATAGAGAGAAATATGAGGAGGTAAAAGAAAATAAAATCTTGTCACTTCCACATGACTGCTATCTTTAAGATCAAGTTTAACTCTTTTTCTAAAGGCAGAGAAACCAAAATATTACGTGATAGAACGCAAACATCTTAAATTAAGGATAAAAACAAACAGAAGCAAGATACGGTTCTGATACACTATAGCCCCTACATCTAAAAAGCTCTCTCTATATACCACAGTGAAAACTGTGAGAGCCGGAGCTTGAAAGGACTACCTTGTTTTTCTGGGTCACACCAGTTTTCTACCTTTGACAGGGTACAGTTTTACCACTATTCTCTCTCTCATTTTAGTGGAAAATATTTGAGTTTTCCTTCTCTGACAGGTTCTACTGTATTTTGAAACTGCAAGAATTGGTAAGGTCTTACGTCTCAGAGACTGTGTTACTATAAAAGTCTAATAAAAACAGAATTTTTGGAGTTTCTGGAGAGGCATAGATAAACAGAGGAAGATTACACAGACCACGTTAAAAAATAGAAAAGCAACATAGCATAGTGAAAAGAATACCGATTCTGTAGTCAGATATGCTGAGTTCAAATTCAAAATCTTGGGCAAGTTACTTAACCTCTCTTCAGCTTGGTTTCTTTACCTGTGAAATGGGAATAATACCAACCTCATGGGTTGCCTTGAGCACAATGCTGATACATTGTAGATGTTCAATAAATTGGAATGATATTATTTTTTTATAAAACAAAATTTTGGACGATCAGAAGGAGAGCGACATCACTATTAAAGCTTCCCTAGATTGATCCCAAGCAAAGATGATCTACCAGAACAACCAAAAAGTCAATTTAACCACTATTAGTAATGTCTACATTTTTCCTGCCATGGATCCCACAGCCACCTGATAAAATTTTGTCAACTACTTCTTATTTGTTAACACATATAGTTTTACCACCACTACTTACCCTTTTATCTACTCAACTCTTACTAGTACCTACACTTTCCTATTATTCTATTTCCAGGAACCTGACCTTCCTTAAGCCTCAGTTTCACCACTTCCAATTATCCTCCTCCCATTATCTCTAGCCTCATCGTCTGTTCTGCCATCCCTAACCACCTGGAGACTTTTTCCCATCTTTCTCTCTTCCTGTTACTGTTCTATATCCTTCTTCTACTCCTTCCTACTATACTTTCTACTCTCTCAACTTCTGGGGACTATGTGAAGTAGACTTGAGAAGAAATTAGCTCCATGGTTAGAAAAGATAATGACAGAAGGAAAAGACTGAACACTGAAGGACCCAGACCATCTTCCTGGCTTTCTATTCCAGTAAAGATCTACTTGACAAACCCTAGCACTACGCCATTTTCTGTAAAACTGCTCATTAGCTGTAGTTACCCAAAATTTCAATACCCTATTTCTGTACTGCATAGTCCTTGTCTTTTAAACAATGGTCTCTACAAAACTGTTGAGAATTATCATTAGGTAGAAATGCCACAAATTAAATTCTCTAGGGAGACAAAGAGTCGAAAACAGGGCCCCTTAGCATCCAGTATGTTCTCTCACCTGGCTATGAAGTGACTCTGTATCATCCCCAGGAGCACTGGCCAATTTCTCACCACTCCCCTTCTCAGTCTGAACTGTAGCATCTTGTTTTCCAGAGTTCTGGTCCATGGTACTGGTCCCCTGCTCACACACATTCTTCACAGTCTGGGTTGCTGCTGTAACAGTTTCTGGGGCCCATGGGAAACACTCCATGGTCTGGATTCCTATGTTATTTTGGCTAGGCCTTTCAACCAAGGCCTTACTAAGTTTTTCCTGATTGGTATTCTGTCCTTCTTTCTGTCCTTCTGGTACATCAGTCTCCATTGCTTCTCCTTGAGGACTTGATGGCCCCTGCATGGCCATCTGCTGGGAAGCTGGAGAAGCAGAGTCCTGGGTAACGCTAAAGGGTTTCAAAGGCTGCTGACTCTGACTAGTCCTTTGGTCACCCTCTAATTCTTCCTTCTCCACTTCTTCTTGAGTACTTGGAAAACAGAGCAAATTCCCCCTGAAAATCATCCATATAAAGAAGTCAGGTCAAGTCATCAAGAGTATGTGTGTATGTATTGTATGTACTGGTAGGATGGAACTGTATTTTGTCAATTTGAGAAACGTGAGGAAGGGTGAAATGTAAAGTGGCCAAACATAATTCCTTGTGAGTTTTTTTTTAATTTTGCTGCTATGAAAAATAATAGTACATATAAATTCTGTCATGATGACAAAATAGTTGTAAAACTTCTTATCACGATCTATAAATGCTGAAACTTGATATAGTAAAATGAGATAAAAAGAGTAAAGCCATCACTGAATTCATAAACAATGAAAGGAATGAAAGGCAGTTTAGGAATTTACTTCAAGAAAAAAAAGATTAATTAGGTCAATATGTTTCATTTGGCTTTATGATTAGTTCTAACATTTCTTAACTGACTCCTAGCATTCTAGATACTGTTCATCCCCTCCTGACCAATAATTTTAGGAAAAAAAATCTTATCTATAAAGGATAAATTTGTGAGATTCCAGCTTTGCTACACATACTGATATACTGATATAGTCAGCCATTTCAGAATGACATGTTTCCTCAAAAACAGTTCTCAAGGTACAGCACACTTCTTTTCATTAGTCTTTCCATTTGGGTACCAGTGATTCATTCAGTTATTCCACAAATATCAAGTGGAATTTCACCTAAGAAGCTTTTCCATACAATAGAAAATACAGTCTCCTTACCATGTGGGCCATTTCACTCTCAAGAATACCAATGAGCTGATATTTCATAATCAGAATGACCATTTAAAGCAATGAAATGTTTCTTCTAAGTATGTCTATCAATAAAGAAAATAGAAAACTATGCTACAAATACCACTTCTAGAAATATACCTGATAAAATTTTATCAGATTACATAATTTTTTAAAAAATCATTAAATTCTAGAGTTGAAAGATATCCCCTCCAATTAAATACCAGTTTATTTTCAGTTATTACTTACTTCTCTATATTAGTATTAAATAAGACGATCATGTATTATAAAGAAGCTATTCTTCATTCAAATAGAGAAGAAATGTCTTCTGATTTTTTCTTCCCTGCTTCAGAGCTATTCTAAGGGATTATGAAGTAAAGAGATTATGAGAAAACCTTAACTGTCAAATCTAAGTGACTATAAATTTGGAATATTAAGCATCACAGATTTTTTTAAAAGAAAAATATGCCCTAAAAGAAACACAAAGGGGAATAAAAGATTTGGTAAAAAAAAAACATTATTCCAAAAGTAAGAAATAAGAATACTCTTAGAAATGTCGAATCATATAAATTCTTTTTTAAGTTTATGAAGACTGAGTCATTTCAAATTGACAGAACTGGCAGATAAAGATAAAAATTCTTTATCTATAGAACACTCAGTAAAATTTCTTAAAACATTTCATTTATGAATACACCTAGAAAATGCCAAAGTCCCTCAGGAAAAAAAATAATAAACTCCAACTCACAAGACAACCAAAATCAATTGCTTATGAGTAGATTCCAACTCTAGGCAACCCTACAGAACCTAGCAGAACTGCCCCATAGGGTTCCAAAGCTATAAATCTTTATGGGAACAGAGTGCTACATCTTTCTCCCAGGGAGCAGCTGGTGGGGTCAAGCCACTGACCTTTCAGTTAGTAGCAGAATGTTTAACCACTATGCCACCAGGGCTCCCTAATATTTAATAAAATTTCTCAAGACATTCAAGAAGCTGCCTAGAATATGCCACAGTAGAAAGTAAACTCAAGCTCACAAGACAGCAGCAGAAATACTAGATTTTTGTGTTGACCATTTTGTGAATCAATACAGTTCAAAGGACACTGTGAAAATAATACTTGCCTGATGGGTACAGAGTGAGTTTCCTGCGTTCGTGCCTCATCCTCTTGCCTGGCTTCACAGATACCGCTAAATACAGACATCGTCTTCTGAGGACTAAGATAATGAATTAAAGATATTTTAGTTTTAAAAGGAAAAGTGCCTATGGAGATTATCCTTTTAGGCACAGAAGGGATAAAATCCTTTTTCAGCATCCCAAACTCTCTTGTTGTCGTTATTATGTGCCATTAAGTCGAATCTGACTCATAGCAACCCCTCCATGGGTTTCCAAGGCAATATCAGTATGGAAGTAGATTCCCCCATCTTCCTTCCGAGGAGTGGCTGGTGGGTTTGAACCTCCAGCCTTCTGGTTAGCAGTCAAGTGCTTTAGGCACTACGCTACCAGAGTTCCTATCTCAAACTCTAACTTGCCTTAAACCAAAATCAACTTCCTCACTTTTGTCTCAAATTAGCATAATAAGAAACTCTCAAGGAAGATCCACAGGAATAAAAAAATAAACTCAAATTTATTTGAGGAATAAGGAACATAAAGGACCATATTAAGGAACCATAAAGATGTAACCAGCAAAATCTAGAACGTAGGAAACTCTAAAGGACAAATAACTCCATTCCTTCAACAGAGAAATTGTAAGGTGAGAAAAAAAGATTAAAAGAGACTTAATTTAAGAGACCTATCAACCACATGGAGGAGCTCTGTGATACAGTGGTTAAAGCATTTGGCTCGTAACTAAAAACTTGGAGGTTCAAACCTACCAGCTGCTTCGTGAAAGAAAAATGAGACAGTCTGCTTCCATAAAGACATATAGCCTTGGAAATCCTATTTGTTCCCTTAATAACAAGTTGTGCCTGGCATACAATTCTATTAAAAACAAAGAGATCAAATACAAACTCCACCTTCTTCAACAAGTAACACTACTTATCATTAAAGGGTACTCAAGTGAATAAGGACTCTAATGTACTTCTTTCAGATTAATATTCAAGAGCCCAGGGGTGTGAATTAACACTATTTTTTTATTCCTCTGGACCTTCCTTGAGAGTTTCTTATTATGTTAATTTGAAACAAGAATGAGGAAGTTGATTTTGGTTTAAGGCAGGTTTAGAGAAAGCATTTTCTTCTTTAAGAAATATCTAAGAACAGATCAAAGGATTTAGATAGTGTTCAGAAACTCACAACTGAGGGTCAAATATAAGTCTCCCAAACAAAACCAAACTCACTGCCATCGAGTAGGATCCAACTCACAGTGACCCCTCCTTGGGTTTCCAAGACAGTTTCACTACAGAAGTAGATTGCCCACCCTTCCGATGAGTGGCTGGTGGGTTTGAACCGCCAGCCTTCTGGTTAGCTGTCATACGCCTTAGGCACTACGCTACTAGAGCTCCTATATAAGTCTACAGACATAGTTTATTTAACTCATCAATCAACTATATGTATCTCCAGATGTTTCTTTAAAAATGTAGAAATTTGACAACTTAGTAAGCTTGCATCATCTCATGGCAACAAACTGGAATGAAGCTTATGTTCAGTCAATCATGGTCCTCAACATTCCATGCTGTCTTATACTAGCCTGTTTTACTTATTTACAGTACCTGCCTAACCTTTGATTTATGAATCTTCACTTATATGTCACTAATTTATGCCAGTATTTTAATGCTGGATGAATCATGCCAGAAATAAATGAAACAATTCTGTTCTCACAGCCACCAGATGGCAAAGCTTAACCACCTAAGCCTCAGGATAGGGTCACAGTCATTCTCAAAGCATTACAACATTCATGACAAAGCAAAAACAACAGCTCACCACAGAAGTTAATTTGGCAGGCAGACAGAAAATGTCCTGAGACTGTGACTGAGTATGGGGTCTCAGAAGGAGGAAGGCCCACGGCTATCTCTTATTATTTCCTCACTAATAGCAGCAACAATCTCAATCTCATCAAGGGGTGGGGTGGGATGGAGGAAACTCTCACATGAACAAAAGAGAGAAAGGGAAAAACCTATAAATATCTTAGTTTTAAATATAGCAAAAGCTTTATGGAGCTGAAAGTACTAATAAGAAAGCCCAAAGATTTAACACATTGCCAAATTCTTTATACTGGAGTTTTTCCCTCTGTTGATAAATCATCTTCCCCTCATTACCAGGAGCTCTGTATTAAAGGCCTCTAAATAGCAACCAGCTCTGGTTACCTGGCAACAGCCTCAGCAACAGCAGTTTTTCTTTCACCATTTGCAGGCTCTGAATAAAAACAAAGGCAAGGAGGGAAACAGAATTTAATTAGTTACCACAACTAACAACCTTCAAATACTAGCATTTGCCCCTAATTCTCTCAAAAAGAAATAGAAATAAGCAATAATAGTAAATAAACATAAAAAAAAATCTTATAATTTAATGGTATAAATATTTCTCACATCCACCAATTAACTTTCTTTCAAACTTCCTACAAACGATCAATCAGTTTGGCCAGAAACACAATATAATAATACTAGGCGGTAATAGTTTAAAAAGAAAATTAAACTTCTGAATCATAATTCATCTCTATCCATACAGAAAAACAGATACATACATACATACATACATAAATGTTCTGGGTTGATGCTCAAATTTTAAATAGTGTACAGTTTTAAGAGCACCCACAAGTAGAAGGTACCCAAGTTCTTCCCAACAGTAGTGATTTGGCAAAGAGATTTGTAAAATAAAACATCCTTTCAAGAAATAACCTGCAGTAAAGACCTGAAGGTAATACTGAAAAGAATCCCATATTCTCATATCAATGCCATTAACGTCAAGGATTAAAGTTTGTTCATTTACAATTTATTCTAGCGTTAGAGAAAACAACTCTTGAAAGTTTTTATTGTTGTTAGCTGCTGTCAAGTCAGCACCCAATTCATGGTGATCCCATGCACAAGGAAACACTGCCTGGTCCTGCACCATCCTCATGACTGGCTGTGGATCAGATCATTGTGATCCGTAAGGTTTTCACTAGCTGAATTTCAGAAGCAGATCACCAGGTCTTTTTGCCTAGTTTTTAAACATTTCTGAAGAATTCACTACCCAACATAATCTAAACAGTTCACCAAGGAAGCAGCTTATGCTCACTAGTTTAGAGCCTGAAATAGAAGCTCTAAAATAGAAGCCTGGTTCATGCCCTGCTTTGGACACTTAGCAGTCCAAAACTAAGGATAAACTACTTAATCATTCTGAGTCTGTTTCCTCATCAAATAAGGATAAAAAAGGTTTGCTGTGAAGATGAACTGATGTAAGTAAAACTGTGAGTACAGTGCCTTAGACTGTGTGTCTAGTATTAGGAGAGGTAGAAATATTTACTAATAGGATCATCTTGAACATTTAGCTCCATTTAAGGTCTTCCTAGTTGTGTTTCTGATCTAAAGAAGAGATTAAAGGCTAACACAGACTCTCTCTTAATAAGAATTTATTTATTCCAGAGAAGATAATAATAAGGATGGAAATAATTAATACTTTAATTTCTACTGAGGTTCTAAGATTCACAGACACTATATACATCAGCAATGAGCATTCCAACAATTCCATTTACAACAGCACCTAAAAAAATAAAATGCACAGGAATAAATACAGCCAGGGAGGTGAAAGACATACATACTGAAAACTATAAAAAATTACTGAAAGAAAGAAAATTGAAATAAATGGAATGATATTCCATCTTCAAGGATTGGAAGACTAATATTGATAAAATGTCAGTATTACCCAAAACAATCTATGGATTCAATCCCCATCAAAACTGCAACAGCCTTCTTTGCAGAAATGAAAAAGTCAATCCTCAAATTTGTAATGGAACTGCAAGGGGTCCTGAATAGCCAAAGCAATCTTGAGAAAGAAAAAGTAGGAAGATTCATACTTCACAATTTCAAATCATTTCATCAAGCTATAGTAATTAAAACAGTCCAGTACCGGTATAATGACAAACATATAGACAAATGGAAGGGAATTGAGAATCCAGAAATAAATCAATACATCTACAGTCAACTGTTTTTTGACAAGGGTGCCAAGTCTATATAATGGGAAAAGAATAATCTCTTCAATAAATGGAGCTAGGACTGGATCTATACATGAAAAAAAAAATGAAGCTGTACTCATACTCCATTATCATATATAAAAAGTAACACAAAATGGATCAAGGACCCAACTGTAAGACCTAAAACCATAGAACTCTTAGAAGAAAACATAAGGGTAATGCTTCAGGATTGAGGTTTTGACAATGGATTCTTAAGTATGACACCAAGAGCAAGAGCAACAAAAGATGAAATATATATATTGGACTTCATCAAAATTAAAAACTTTTTTGCATCAAAAGATTTTATCAACAAAGTGAAGAGACAACCTATAGACTGGAAGAAAAATTCTGGGAAACATATAGGATAAGGGTTTAATATACAGAATATATAAAAAATGTTTACAACTTAGTAACAAAACGACAAACAACCCATCAAAAACTGGGTAAACTGCTTGAATAGGCATTTCACCAAAGATGAAATATACAAACAGCCAAGAAGTACATGAAAAGATGCTATCTTAGTCACTGTTGTTGTTGTTGTTATGTGCCATCGAGTCGGCCCCGACTCATAGAGACCCCTCCTTGGGTTTCCGAGGCAGTATCACTACGGAAGTAGGATTGCCCAACCTTCCTTCCAAGGAGTGGCTGGTGGGTTTGAACCGCCAGCCTTCTGGTTAGCAGTCAAGTGCCTTAGGCACTATGCTACCAGATGAGATACCACTTCACCTCCACTAGGATGACTATGAAAAAAGGTTGGGGAGGACATGGAGAAACTGAAATTCTCATCCACTGTTTGGTGAAACCATTAAAATGGTGCAGTCACTTTGAAAAACAGTTTGTCCTCTGAACTTTAACACAGAATTACCATATAATCCACCAATTCCAGTACTAGGTAGAAACCCAAAAGAACTGAAAGCAGGAACACAAATTATTATATATCAATGTTCAGTGTAGCACTACTCAGAAAAGCCAAAAGTGAAAACCATCTAAATGTCCATCAACAAATGAATGCTTAAACAAAATGTGGTATAGGCATACCTCATTTTGTGCACTTCGTTTTACTGTGCTTCACAGATAACATTTTCTTTAGAAATTGAAGGTTTGTGGCAACCCTGCATCAAGCAAATCTAATGGCACCATTTTTTCCAACAGTATGTACTCATTTTATGTCTCTGTGTCACATTTTGGTCACTGTCTTGGTTCTCTAGTGCTGCTATGACAGAAATACCGTAAGTGGATGGCTTTAACAAACAGAAATTTATTCTCTTACAGTTTAGAAGGATAGAAGTCCAAATTCAGAGTATCAGCTCTAGAGGCTGGGTGAAGGCTCCTCATCCTTAGGCTACAGCTACAGCTCTGCCTCTTATTCCAGGTCCACTAGAGCTGGAGGCTTCTTGTAACTCATGCAGATGCTAGCTGCTGAGGCTGACAAACCTAAGGTCAGCAAGTAGAATGGCACTATATCCCAATCATGATCATGACAATATGACAATACTCATGATCAATAAGCACAAAGCAGGTCACTGGTTCAAGTCCAGGAATAATCCCAAAATTAGCAGGCAACAAACACAATAGGCCACTGGATGAAGACCTGACCAAATGCAGGACACAAGCGTGCCAAAAAGCTAGAGATCTTTCTCAAAGCTTCTCCCTATATACTGAAAGCAGGCCACACCTTGAAGGCAATTACTTAGCTGCTCACAGCATATTCCCATCATGGAGATGATTACAATCTCATTATGGGGAATTACCACATCAAGCTGCCAAGTCACTCAAAACCACAGCCCAAACAAGTTGATATACAACCTTCACTACCACAGTAGTTCTCATAATATTTCAAACAATTTTCATAATGCCATTGCATAGTTAATAGACTATAGTGTAAACATAACTTTTATATGCACTGAGAAACCAAAAAATTCATGTGACTTTGCTTTATTGCTGCAAAAAAGGCAAAGAGGTGACACCTTCTGACCTCCTCCAATCTCACGAGGAGGAATGAGAGTCACCCTCAACAGTGCAAGGCTTATTATTCCTATGATGTCAGACATATCACCACCCTCCAGTCTTTTACCAATTCTGACACCAACCATCCCTTCCACAGCAATCACTACTTCTCTGCTGGGTTCAAGAATTTGTTGCAATGGCCACACAGAACTCACAGACAATACTCATGATTATAGGGTTTATTAGGAAAGTTAACAGGCTACAGTTCAGGTTCAGGAATGCGCTCAGGATACAATTCTTTGATCAGGACAATCTCCTCTGTGCTGTGCCCTCAGACACATCTCTTTGGCCCATAGCCTCTTGGCCTGGCCTCTGCCCTACTCAGGCAAATGTTACAAAGCTCTTTTAGCTTTGTCAATAGGTACACCTAGGTGCACCGCACTCCGTCAGCAAGCGTCTCGCCCAAGGGCATTCAGCTTTCTCACTCTGTAGGCTAGGTAAGCCCACCATTCTGTCTTGTGCCTCTTGGTTCCACGGCCACTGTGTCTCTGCTGAGTGTCTCTCTGCCACACGTGTCTCTTTGCGGGGCATCTCTGCCAAGGAGGTCCAGTGCAGGATCTTGGGTCCAAGGATGCACTCTACTTCACCTCCAGCTCTTCTCTCTTGATGGTGGTAAGATCCTCTCTCTCCCTCTAGGAAGGCTCATTTTAATCCTGGCAGAGTGACAAAACTAACTAATCCCAACCTCAGAGTTCCACACAGCTTATTTGCACGGTCTCACCCAACAATCCAGTGGGAGTTACAAAAACTATAGCTAGAACAGCCATACTAAGTAATTCACCACACCACAATTGCAGTGGTCTAGAACCAAGATCAAAGTATCTCTGAGGTATGCCTGTATGTACATAAAATGGCACCTTACGCAGTCATAAAAATGAAGTACTGATACATGCTACAACATGGGTGAACTTTGAAACAATTTGCTAAGCAAAATAAGTCAGTCACAAAAGGACAAATATTGCATGATACCACTTACATGAAGTACCTAGAATTAGCAAATATAGAGACCAAAGTTTATTAGTGGTTACCAGGAATGGAGGGAGGGAGGAAGAAATGGAGAAATTATTGTTAGGGGTACTAAGTTCCTCTTAAAGATAACAAAAAAATGTGGAAAGCCAACAGAGAGAAAGCCTTCCCCCAGAGTAGCACCTTGAATTTGAACTTCTAGCTTCCTTAACTGTGAGAGAATAAATTTGTT